TGGCTCCCTCCCCTCAGCTCTTTCCTCCCAGGCAGAGCCAGCCCTGTCAGTCTGAGTGGCCTTCAACTTGTGCCGAGGCCACTCTGGGATGAGGAAGAGGAAGGACCCAGGGAGGGTGCAGGCCTGGAGGGAGGTGGGGATACAGGCAGCCCTGCCCTCCCGGGCGATGGAGCAGGTGCCTGGTCGCTCACAGAGCACCTCCGCGTCCCGGCACCTTGCCAGCAGGGCTGGGTTGGGCACACAGCACGTGGTGAACCGTGGTGGAGATGTAGGTGGTGGGAGCAGACACCGCGTCCCAGGGAAGGATGCAGATGTCAGGGTGGAGGGAGGGATGCAGGACAGCCCGTGTGGTTTTGGGAAGCATCATCCAAGAGGGCTGCTCTGCTTTTCCCAGGCAGAAGAGAGGCACGGGAGCATCGAGGAGCACCTCCGGCAGCTGGAGAGCCAGCTGGAGGAGAAGAACCAGGAGCTGGCCAGGGTAAGCGCTGCTCAGCCTGGACTGAGGAGTCCTCGCAGGTCCTGATCCTGCTTCCTCTTGCCTTGGTGGCTGGGTACCTGGGCACACCACAGATCCTTTCACATCCAGGATCTCTTAAACTAGAGCCACACGGGAGCTCACGACACTCCACTGTGATTTCTCCCTCTCCCAGACATCCAAGCCCTGCTGTTAGTGTGCCACGTCCACTCCTCTGCCAGCATCCCCCCCTGGCACAAGCCAGGACCCCAAATACAGGATGGAAGGGGAGGCTCCAGCAGCTGTTCCCCAGAGGCTGGATCAGCAGCAGGACAAGACCGATGGGTGTGGGGAGCAAAAAGGGTGTTGCTTCTCAAAAAGACAGGGAGGCTGATGTGTCATGGGCTGCACAATCCCCCTTGTGCTGCTTAGCCAGTGGCTGGGCTGCCCATGCCGGAGGTTGTGATGCCCATTTCTCAGTTGCCCAGGGGGCATCGCCATGTATGCCCCCAGGGATGCTCATGGTTGTTTTAGCCAAGGGCAGAGACTTGAAGAGACCTTTCAAATCTAGAGGATCAGCACCCATTGGGGTCTGGAGGGTGGCCCCAGAGTGGTTCTCCCTAGCAGGTGACACAGGTCTAACTTTCCTGAGGGTCGAGCAGACAAGATCTCTGGATCCTGTCCCTTCTGTTCGTGCCTGGCTGGGAAATGGCAGAGACCAGCAGAGGGTCCAGTCTGTGCTGGAAGGGTTGGATTTGACTCCAAAGGCTGGGCCTGGTGGATCGGCTCTGACAGCACCAGTGGGCGTGGGATGGCAGGAGGACACGCAGCCCCTCGTGCCGGAGGGAGCAGATCCAGCAGATCCGACGTGGCCGGTCGCTGTTTGCCGTTGCAGGCGCGCCAGCGGGAGAAGATGAACGAGGAGCACAACAAGCGGCTCTCGGACACCGTGGACCGTC